ACTTACCGCCAACTCTTGGGCTACTCTTTTGCCAACGAATAGTGGGATTGACCGTCACATTATAACGCCCCCACGGCTGAAAGGGCGAGCATGTTTGGTGTAACTGGGATTCGAACCCGCAGATTGCGAGCCGAGCGCCCTAACCACCCGGCCATGCTGGGCCTGTAGTTGGTTTAAAAGTATAAATATATCAATATTCAAAACTTCCAATAAAGTTTAAATAAAAGCGTGAGTTTTCTTTTAATGTTCAGTTCCCGATTCATAAACATATATGTGAACGTTTTCCTAGCATTTCCTTTACCTTCTATGATAAAAATATTGTCACTGAAATCCTCACAAGTGCAGAAAACCTTAAAGCCTATAGTGTATCAGTTTCGAATCTAATTGATTCGGTTGGATATTGGATATGAAATGAAATGTTTCGTACATGTAAAAAAAATCGTTGTTTCGTCAACAACAATACAGTCTGATATTTGTTCATTCAAGCGTTGTCCGTGTCTGGGAGAAGGAGGTCATGCAGAAAACCCTGTTAGGCAAGACGACTCGCCATCATGACACGCACTGCTTTTAAACGTAGACCCGTTTCGACCCCTTCTCCCGCACACGCACCGATAAATGCTGTAATTTGTTTTTCTCTAAACAAATTATCAGGAATATGCTATTGGTGGTGTTTAATGGCCACATTAACTGGACTGATAAAACTTCACGTCTCGTGAATTATAACTTTTTCATTCCATGCATTGTTCATTGAAGTATAACGATGGATCTGTACCATCGCATTCTATCGTGAAGAGTAGCCATGAACCAGTTCATGTTAGATAGTGTTTGGAAATGAGTAGAATTAACCATGTTCTACAGGAAATGAGTAGAATTAACCATGTTCTACAGGAAATGAGTAGAATTAACCATGTTCTACAGGAAATGAGTAGAATTAACCATGTTCTACAGGAAATGAGTAGAATTAACCATGTTCTACAGGAAATGAGTAGAATTAACCATGTTCTACAGGAAATGAGTAGAATTAACCATGTTCTACAGGAAATGAGTAGAATTAACCATGTTCTACAGGAAATGAGTAGAATTAACCATGTTCTTCAGGAAATGAGTAGATTTAACCATGTTCTACAGGAAATGAGTAGAATTAACCATGTTCTACAGGAGTTAAGTAGAATTAACCATGTTCTTCAGGAAATGAGTAGAATTAACCATGTTCTACAAGAAATGAGTAGAATTAACCATATTCTACAGGAAATGAGTAGAATTAACCATGTTCTTCAGGAAATGAGTAGAATTAACCATATTCTACAGGAAATGAGTAGAATTAACCATGTTCTTCAGGAAATGAGTAGAATTAACCATGTTCTACAGGAAATGAGTAGAATTAACCATGTTCTACAGGAAATGAGTAGAATTAACCATGTTCTACAGGAAATGAGTAGAATTAACCATATTCTACAGGAAATGAGTAGAATTAACCATGTTCTACAAGAAATGAGTAGAATTAACCATATTCTACAGGAAATGAGTAGAATTAACCATGTTCTTCAGGAAATGAGTAGAATTAACCATGTTCTACAGGAAATGAGTAGAATTAACCATTTTCTACAGGAAATGAGTAGAATAGGATATGTTTATAGGATCTAGGATATCAGAAACACGTCTTCCTTTAGATTCTAGATTACCAGAAACACGTCTGTTTCTAAGATGTCAAGTATCAGAAACACGTCTTCCTTTAGATTCTAGATTATCAGAA